TTGAAATTGCTCACAATAATGCAGACTTCTGACTAATTATAGGAGTTTAAATTATCGAGAAAATTTTTCCAAAAACAAAATCTATCATTTATACAGTTTAGCATGGATGAAGCATAATAACCAAATATGGCCAAGAAAAGGACCTGACGAAACAAATACTACACCTCTTATAAGAGAACAAAATATCCACCAAAACATTGTCTTTCTAAAAAACAGCTAACCCACCAACTAATCCTTCAAAAGCCAAGCATAATGGTTAGGATATTTTAATTTTTGCCCCAATTGTACAACTTTAGTATTTAAAATCTTTTTTTTTTTGAAATGGTATTTAAAGTTTTTAATTCCTTAAAAATAACTACGAGGCATTACTTTTAACCAAAATTTTCAAGTTCTGCAAAAGAGGTTTTCTATTAGCACCCTTGAAATTCCAACAAAATATGGAAAAGGAATYAAATCTTTTCCATACAAATATATTTTAAACCTGACCAAATAGAAGTCTATTTGGGCTTTCTTGGTTTTTCACCAAATATAGTCCTCGTTTGGGAGGGTTTTCGGGACAGGACTTCTAGAATTCCGATCTGGACCCCACACGGGATCACCAAAAGCTATATTTAGTGAAAATCTGGAAAGTGTGTCTGGTTTTTTTACCAAACGGTCTTTGTATTTAAAGACAAGACCCCAAAAGCTCAATACGTCTTTCAAACATCTGGGCTGTTGGAAGATCTTTCTAAAAATGCTTGCTAAATGGCACCTATACTTTTTAATTGACTTATTACTTATGCTACATGCATGCATAGATGAAATGCATAAATACCAACAAGCATACATGCATACAAATATATGTACATGAAATATTCCTATCTAATGGTTGAGATTTGCATAGGACCATTTTTAACACATTAGGCATGGTAAGTCCACCCAAGCTCAAGTGATAAAGCTAGACTCAGACTGGGTGCATGCCTAAGGTTGGCCTTGGACTGGGTAGATTGAGCTTGACTTTTCATGTTTAGTTTGAGCGCAAGCCTCAAGCCCAACTATTAGGGATGATCTTTTCTAGCCCAACCTGGCCCTAAAATTTTTAGGTTTGAACCTAGGTTTTGTATTCAAGTCGAGTTCAACACTTAGTTGCAATAATATGGAACATAATATATTATATATAATATTTTTATTATATATTATTAGCAKAGAGGGCCCCGCTTTGTAGGGGCTGTAATGAAATTGCAACATTTCTATTTGCTGCATTATAAAAGACAATGGGTTTCTTAATAAGAAACTTGTAATTATAAATACTCAAGTCTTGAAACTCATATAAAAACTTAAAAGATATCAGCATATGCTCATTTTTTAAATATTGCTTCAGCAAAGTATCTCATATAAAAGAATACGATCATACAGTGATAGTTGTGAGTTCTACTTCATAATTGTCCTTTGTTTCACATTGACAACTCCCAGTTGACCCAGATAATAGAACCGTTGGGCCCGAGAACTGTCCAAGTAATCGGTTCCATTTTATACCCCAAACCCAATCCTTGGCCAAAAATCGTTGAATCGGTCAACGACCCGTTGACCCAAGTGATTGAACCGTTGACCCGTTCAACAGTTTTGGCCATTTTTTATTTTTTATTTTTWATTTTTTATGTTAGAGYAGGCCATCTGTTCGAACCAGACGATCGAACCATCAACCTAGAAACTAGTGGCCAGAACCGTTCCGTTTCCGGGTTGTTTTTTCTAAATGTCAATAATTAGACAAAATAACTTTGTAGTCATAGTCATGGGAAGGCTGGACATTGCAAAGGATTCCAAAACCTTGAAAGATAAATCCAAAGTGACCTTAAACACAAAAAAAATGGTGGTAAATCTAGCAAACTAGAAAAGCCAAGGAAAAAAAATCAGAAAATTGAGTCCAAAGTTCCACTTTGAGATGGAGCTAAACATTTAGGCCCAGTAACCATCCAAGCAATCGGTTCCATTTTACTCCAATCTTGGTCCCAGGCCAAAAACCATTGAATCGATCAACGACCCATTGACCCAGGCGGTCGAACTGTTGACCCGTTCAATGGTTTTGACCATCTTTTATTTTTTAATTGGGAATCGTCTAGGCAATTGGTTCCATTTTATCCCAATCCCGGTTCCTGGCCAAAAACTGTTGAATCGATTAATGACCCATTGACCCGTTTAATGGTTTTTGGTTATTTTTCTTTTATTTTTTAATTTTTGTTGTTAGAAACGGGTCGTC